GCGATGTTTACATGAGGAGCACGTAAACATAGCTACATAAACATATCACCAGAAATATTGACAATTAGGAGGACCACTTATTTTGATGGTCCAACTGGAAATAAAAGATTGTCCTCTATACCTTTAAATACAAATAATTTATTTAATTTTTTTACACAAGTGTGGTATAATTACTGCTCTAAGAGGGTTGCCCAGTAAACTAAGGGCATGTTTGAGAGTCTCTGTACCCCAGTTCATGATTAATCGATTACTAAATTAGTTGACGATTATTAATAATTATAATTAATCAAATTAATTGTTTCAGCCCTAAAACAGTCTATTACAACCTGTTCTTAAATAATTGTAACTAAGGATATTTTTCATATTTACTTTTTTCACATGCGGATGGCTCATAGAAACATTTCCTTAATGATTCACTACATCCTTTTTTTCTCTACAAACAATCTTTCTCTTAAAAATATGATGAACATGAAAATATCCCCTTTTAGAAGGAAAACTGTGTGCTGATTTTCAGAAGGCTGGACACATTTACAACAACAACAAAAAAGAATATTTGCTAAATGAAGATACAGTGCATTAACCCTAATAAAAACATAAATAAAACACTCATGTAACAGCAGCAAATTGTATATTATGAATACTCTTCCTCATTTTAACTCAGGATTAAACTCACTCCTCTTGTGAGAGTCATGTAAGATTTAGAAACTCAAGAAAACCTTTAAAGCTAAGTACTTTAACAATGCATTACAAAACAAATCTTATTATGGCTCTGCTTTGTGACCCTGCACTTCTAGGTGGTAATCGGTGAAGTGGGAGCTGTTAGAGCCTCGTCCTCCAGTGACCCCCCCTACCTCCTCAACCACCCACCCAGTTGCTCATAAACCATGTGCACCAGTTTGTAAATGGAAGTAGCTATTTGTGTGTTGACCTTGCAATGCACTGTGAGCACGGGACGCTCAGGTTGTCCGCATTTATTAAGAATGGAAGTGAATTGTTGAGGAGCTGATTGGACTGACACCAGACACCAGGTACCTTCCCCCAGTGCTCACAGGTCTGCTCCATAACACTAATAGACACTGACAGGCTCTCGGAACACAAAATGTTAATGACCAACTGGGTTAGGGAAATGTTATAAGGTCAAGTTGATATGATCGAAGAGTTTGGGGGGTAGGGCAGGATCAGGATGCTAATATAATTAGATCATTGTTAAAACAGTAAGAGAAAGATGTAGATGGAAGAACGGAAATCAAATGTGAGAAAATTGATAAGAAAAAAAAGGAACATTTGTGTGTTCTCTAGTCATTGTTAGCATTGAGAAAATGTGCACTGCATTTAGTCAAAGCTTTTAAGACATTTCAGATGGAAAAATAATGTCTGCCAGTTAAAGAGTCTAGGTTAGACTATGAAAGCTCAGACATCAGCTCGTTGACTTAAAAAAATCCTGAAAACATCTCCATATGACTTAACATTTAATATTTTAACCCCTAAAATGTGTTTTTAAAAAACTGCATTCGGCTAAAAAGTAATTTGCCTGAAGGCTCCTAATAAAAAGGAACTATTCAAAGTGCCATAGACACTACTTTATCTAACGTCCCCCGGTGACCTTAAAAGGGCTAACTCCAATCACTGTGCTCGGGAAAAATTAAAGGCAAGATGTCAATCATGTTCATTTAAGACCCTCTGAAAAGCCAGCTCCCACTGAGGAAAAAGTAATAGTCATTCTTTTGGACCCAGTGAGGGGGTCCGCATTTTTTTCGGGGAAATAAAGATTTGGAATAGCACTGTGATATTCAAAAGATCTGAATAAAATGAAAAGCAGGCTGGTCTGTCGTTGTGAGGTTTGTATGTCAAGACAGACAGATTTGTAATGTTTGAGCCAGAGGAGAAATCTATTAAAGGTAGATACTGCAAAGCATTATTCCAAAGTATTATAAAGCCTTTACAGGACAAGATTTTTAAATTGTTAGTCTATTTTAAATACCTACAAGACCTCAGGTATGAAGCTAAAAAGGTGATATAACAGGTTTGGAATTACAAATATGTGAGGTACAGCCACACGGCATGAACAACTCAGCACACATAAAGCCTCTCCAGATCAAAAGTAAGTTAACAGTAAATAAATATGACCGAGGAGGTAATAACAAGGATGGTAGTTGGACGTCTAATTTTAGAAGAGGAAAAACACTACATAAAGAAATGGCATCAGTTACAGTAGTTGAGACAGCACCTGCAGGGGCTCTTCCTACCACACTTTAATATGAAGCCTTGGCGGAAGTTCAACTGAAGAAACTGAATAGAATAGAATGGAATATAAAATCATTTTATTGTCCCACAATGGGGAAATTGTGGTCTTACAGCAGCATAAGGTTATAACAGAATGATCACACAATGTGGACATTAGAAAATGTATTAAATTAACAGAACAAAGTTAAGAAAATAAACAAATAAGTACTGTACTGTACAGTGTTTTTACTTTATGAATGCTCTGTATCTGGAGAGTAAATATTCAATAAATGGCTGTGAAGATGGATATCTGAAGAATAGCCGCAACATCAGATGTGCTAAACAACAGCAGCATGTTATTTAACTGACTTAGACAGACATTGTGCAAAAATCAGTATGAATGTAACAACTTATTGAGGTTGTTGAGAACAGTGATGTTATAAAGTTTTGCAGCTGCTGGTGGGAAGGATCTGTGATAACGCTACCTGGTGCATTTAGGGTGCAGCAGTTTTTAAGTGAAGGAGCTTTCCAAATCTGCAACAGCTTCATGCATGGGGTGGTAGACATTATCCAACAGAGATGTTATTTTAGTTAGGGTCCTTTTTTGTGTCCAGAGGGCATCCAATCACAGAGCTTTCCTTCCTGATCAGCTCATCCAGCCGCTTTCTCTCAGCTACAGATAAGCTTACTTGCCGTCATCATCAGAGGCTCTCTGCCTCTGACAGAAATGCCTCTGACCAATTAGCTTTGAACCGCACCTCCAAAAAGTCCAATTAGCATCCAGAGTTCATCTTAAAAGGTCTTTGGATCCATAACTCAGCCTGCTGCCCAGCCAGGTGCAAGCGGTGGTTGCACTGTTCCCGATTTTGAATCAGATGACCCCCATTCAACCCACCTTCATCCCCTTCTGGTAACTAAGCTTTCCATGGTGCTTCGTAAACCTCGACCCTATCAGAGTGTAATTCCGCCTGGATTCTTACTGCATTCCCCACCACATCTCAATCAGTCCAGCAGAAGACCACCATGCCTGGTTCTGCCAGAGGTTTCTTCCCAAAGGGGAGTTTTTCCTCTCCACTGTTGCGTCATGCTTGCTCATTTTGGACAGGTTCATACAAACCTGTGTCTATCCAAGGTTGACATCTAACTTTCGGGTCCCACATGAAGCACTAGTATCACTTCTTTTGGCCAGGCCTGGGGTTTGGGTTCTCTGGTGGCGCTCTGTCATTCTGGGTGAGGTGACGTGCCTTGATTTGTTAGTCTTTATAAGGGCTTTTTGAACCACTCTTTGTCTGTCCCATCTCCCTGAGCCTGTATGTCTTGGGAAACCCAGGGGCTTTAATTTCCAAAACAACCGAACATGTTGAATATCCCCAATTTCCTTCCAAACAGACTCGAGCACTCTTAACACAGCATACACATGAGGATAGTCTCAGAAGATTATCTTTAGATTAATCTTGGTAATTGGGGTATCCTTAATATTGTCGAAAGGGAAAATGTGGGAACAGTTATCTGGCTCTGTGAATGAAATATAGGGTTACTTTTAATGATTGATAATGATTTTTGATCATTTACCAATAAGCCAAAAAGAAACAAGAAAAATACTCTTCTCATTGATATGCTCAATTAGTGTGTGGGGTCCTTATATGACCAGCTCTCTTCCTGTCTCTTCAGTGGGATTGGTCCTTCTAAATCAGCCTCCAGAGCGCTTCTCATGTAATGTTTCTGGCCATAACCCCAACCACTACAGCCTGACTTATTCCAGTATGATAAAGCAGATGATGCAGCCATTAACTAGAGGGCAAAAAATAAAGTTATTTACTATCTTATACAGATTTCTGTAATTCCTACACACATAATAACTAAGCAATCAGACAATTTGGTGAATAAAGCTGGGCAACATAACAAAAGGTAGAGAAGACGATTGATTTTAACCGTTTGAGTTTTTGACTGTTAAATTTCTGTCCTGATCTTGGCACCATAAGACTGGGTTTTTCTCCTTGTTGTTCTAATCTGCTTTGCTCCTCCCTTTGCTTATCATCTCTCATCAGATCCACCTGTTCCTGCTGCTATTTATGCCTCTCTATCCCCAGCCTCTGGAGCTAGATTATTCTAGCTTCCTAGCGAGACTAACTCTAGTGTTCCCTGTGTTTAGTGCTGTCTGTTTCCTGGCCAGTTTTTGGCCATGGACTAAGTTTTTGCCGCCCCGTTCTGCTCTGTATTGCCTGTCCTGTGTTTTCAGACTGGATTCCGCCTGATGTCAACTTTGGACCTGTCTTCTGACCACGGCATGGATTAACGCTTCTGGATCCACTGGTTTCCCTGCATGCTGTGGCTGCTGCAAACGCTGCTACCGTTCTCTCCTGAATCTCTGCCTCCGCTCCTCTGGACTTCTTCCCTTCTTCTGGGCTAAGGACTGAACTTTGCCAAGTTGGTGGCTTTAATGCTCATTGTTTTTCCTCATTTGAGTTTTGAAGTAAATGACCTGAGCCGCTACTCCTTTAGAGAATCCAGTGAACCCACCACAGCTGACGAGCCGCCGCACAACTCTGTTGTTGAATAAACTTTCTCACTGTCTGTTTCTATTGAATTCTGGGTCCTACGTTCTGAAATCATTACAATTTTAAGTTCGTCAATGACTTTCTTTAGAAAAAAAGACAAATATAAATGAAAAAGACATGCCTCATTCCCCACCAGTTAGGGTTAAAGTACTATTTTTGTTTTCTTCTACATACTTTTATTGATAATGGGTTTTATTTTGAAAACCGGAAGTTTATTTTGATATACCGGAAGTGCAATGCTTAGAAAAGCACATCTAGCTTAACCTCGTTAATTGACTCACAGAGCCCTGCTCTTTCACCCACGTGTGATGAGAAAAGAGAGGAAAAGGTATAAAAATCATATTTTTCGGTGCTCAAACTTTTGGTTGTGTTAGTTAATGGTGTTAACTTTGTAAAAATCCTGTCTAGAGCGTGGATGAGCACAGAAGGAGCGAAGTTAGTGGGTGAACACAACACCATCCCTTGGTAAGAAAGCTCTCAATTGTGTTAATTACTTTATGATCACATGTCATGTTGTTTCGATGATATTGATTGAAAAACGTTATTTTGCACACTTTAAGTTAATTTACTGAGGATTTATGTTACAGTGGACATTTTATTTAATTATTGAACCAAATATCTGCAGTAATGCACGCAGTGTTACTACAGTAAATTCATATTGATTTACATGAAAGGTATTTGATTGTAAATTGTTAATTTCATAGATTAAAGACAGTAAAATGTAATTTTTGTTAATTCATGGAGCTGAAAGCAACGTATTTTGGTTTAAAATATAAAAATATGTTAAAAAGAGAGTTAAAAAGAGATGTTGCATAAATGTTGAAAGAAGTTTATGCATTTTACTTTGAAACATAATTTGCAATTCATTAGTAAGATAATTTATTTGTTATAGTGTGACCAAATAATCACATTTTAATTTATGTTTTGTCTGTAATGGGTTAGAATGGAATTATTCTGACACGGTAATAATTGAAAGTCACAAAAGTAATTGTTATCTGCTTGTTATAACTTTATACAGTTCAATATTTGGAAAATGCATTTATAGTTGTACAACACTTTGATTATAATGAATGAGATGAATATATAAGAGTTTAGATTATAAACCTGTTTCTAAATGCAGGTCAGGTCTTTTTTGATGAGTCCAAGAAAATCAGAAGATTCTAGCCCTCATGTCCTGGAAGGCTGATTCTATGACCCATTGATGGCGAGCCTCCCAGCTTGAATCCAGAGTTTCTACACCACCATACGGCGGACCACCAATCTGTGATTGGTATGATCGTGCCAGTCACCCTGACTGACACCACCTTGAGTCTACCTCGTAAAGTGCACTTGGATAAACCCCCCTTGACTTTTGACTATTTCCCCCCGACTTTTACAACTGACATTGACTGAACTAAGAGCAACCGCTCTCAAGAAGGAACAAAGGAAAATCAGACTCTCTAAGAGACACTTTACTTTCTTAGTTAAAGGGCCCATAGTTTACGTTGTTACTATTGTGTGTTGTATTATATGTTGCAGTGTTCTTTTGGCAACTAAAATCTACAATAACTACAACCACCTGTGTGTTTGGTTATTGCACTCTCTCAGCTCCTACGAACCTAGTCTGTGACGTGTACATACCTTGAAGTGGGTTACACGGTAAAACGTGGCGAGCCAGCCAGGAGCTTTGAGAAGGCAATAACGCTGAAACCGTGTGACCACTAGATTCTACCTTAACTGTTGATTGGCTAATTTACACTGAAATGGATGTGATTGAAACTGAAAACATTAAGGTTCCCAACTCCCTTCTTGTCACGGGATTAACCAAGACTGTTGTAGATGAAGAGCTTTATGAGTTTTTGAAGAAATTTGGGTCTATTGACCGAGTGATCACCGTTTCAGAACTAACCTCTGAATTTTATGGCAAAGGTATTGTCGAGTATACATCTGGTGCTGCTGTGCAGGCACTTGAAAAAGACTTACCTCTTGATAGAAAAAGTGATTCTGATAGCAATGTTATCTTTCACATCGAGGCCTTAGCTAGTGTATATTCTAGCAAGAAGGGTACAGGTCTTACTACAAGTTTTCTGTCAGACCTTCAGAATATTGCAAAACTCAGTGGGAAACCTTTTGAACATATAGTACGTGATGAACTAGCCAGAATTGCTGGGGTTGTAGGAGAGTATTGTCAGAGTGAGCAGACTGAGTTAGTTCAAGAACAAGCTGCAGCACTCCCTGGAGAACCTCTTTCCCCAAATGCCACGGACTCAGTTATCATGGAACCAAACCCCATTCTTGACCCATCTAGCTCTACTTCTAAACCACCTGCAGCCGCTATGCCAGCTTTTAAGGAGTCTGCATCTTCCTTTTCGCAGTCTTCTGATCATCTGAACCCACCCGAGGTGCAACGTTTAGTAGTTGAGCACATTGTCAAAACCGCAGATCTTACTTCTCAGATACATGCACCAACTAAACTGAGACCCTTTTCTGGCAGAGTTCCATGCTCAAATTTTGAAGTTGACTATGAAACTTGGAGGAACAGTATTGAATGTCACTTAGCTGATCCAACTGTTTCCAGTGCACAACTAGTAAGGAAAATCGTCGATAGCTTACTGCCTCCTGCAGCCACTGTAGTAAAATCTTTGGGTCCTCATGCTAGCCCACAAGCATTCTTAGATGTACTTGACTCAGCTCATGCCACTGTCGAAGATGGGGATGAGCTATTCGCCCAGTTCTTAAATGTCAACCAGAATTCAGGTGAGCGACCATCTAGTTATCTCCAACGGCTACAGACAATCTTAAACAGAGTTGTGAAAATGAAAACCATTTCACCTCAGGATTCAGATAAACAGCTCTTAAAGCAGTTTCGTAGAGGCTGCTGGAACAATGCACTGATTACAGCTCTTCAGCTTGAGCAGAGAAAAGACAGCCCACCTACTTTTCCAGAGCTTTTATTGCTTTTGCGCACTGAAGAAGACAAGCAAACTGCCAAAGCTAACAGAATGAAACAACATCTTGGTTTCCAAAAACCAAAAGCACAAGCTGGTGCACAAGTGCATGATGTTTATCTTTCAGACACTGCTGAATATGACCTATCAGCATCTATTGCTACCCCACCATTAGCAGTTCAGCAGATCCAAAGGCAGATTGTAGAACTACAGGCTCAAATAGCTGCTCTCTCCAGCCCTAAACAAGAAAAACACAGTGCACAAAAACCTGCAAAGAAAAAGGACAAAGACAAACAAAGAGAGAGAACTAATATGACACCAAGGACACCAACAACTGAAATAACTTCAGAAACCCCACCTTCAACATTCAGGTCAAAACCAAAACCATGGTACTGTTTTTGGTGTGGAGAGGACGGACATATTGCGACTAACTGCAATGACCCTCCTAATCCTACCTTAGTGTCTGCCAAGAGAAACCTGTTGAAAGAAAAACAGCAGGCTTGGGAAAAGACCAACCCAATGCCCAATCAACCTTTAAACTGAACCCTGTTTCTATTGAGGGACAAATGGAAACAAACAAACTCAAAAGTCCCACTACTGAACCAAAGACAAAACCGAGAGCCAAACTTAAAGTACACGAAGTAACAAGAACCAGAAAGCTACCTAAGGGGTTAGTTGGAAGTAAGAGTACGGCTAATGTTAAAGTTAATGGGCTTGAGTGTAATTCATTGCTTGACACTGGTTCTCAGGTAACCACCATGTCCCAGTCCTTTTATAAGAGTTACCTCTCAGACCACACTATTTACCCTGTCAATGACTTACTTGAGATTGAAGGGGCAAATGGCCATTCAGTGCCATACATGGGGTATGTACAAGTAGCTATCCAGTTCCCCAAAGAGTTCATTTCTGCTGAACCTGAAATTGAGACACTTGCCCTCATAGTACCAGATGTCAGATCCAATAGCATCACCCCCTTACTGATTGGAACCAACACTCTAGACCCACTTTATGAACAGTTCTGTGATGATGATTATCTTCAGACAAACCCTTACTCTGGCTATCACCAAGTTCTAAGAACCTTGCAATTCAGACATAATCGAAACTCAAATGTTCAGCTTGGCTTAGTGAACTTGCGAAATATTGAACCAAATGTGATCCCTGCTGGTCAGAAATTTGTGCTTGAGGCATTTGCAAACATTGATGGCACAACTAATGAAAAGTGGGCTCTGGTTGAGTAACCCAGCATGTCATCTTTACCTGGTGGCATTTTCATTGACAGTTGTATCATAACACTTCCAAAAGACTCTCCTTACAAAATACCAGTTGTAGTAAGAAATGAAACTGATCGTGACATATGCTCACCAGTGAGGTGTGTTTTGGCCGAGCTCAGTGCCGTTGAAATCATTTCCAGTCAAACCACAGCCAGCTGTCATCAACAGTTCACTGTGCATACTGATCAACAGGCTTTCCTTACTGAATCAAGTCTAAAATTTGACTTTGGAGACTCTCTCCCTGAAAAGTGGAAAAGTCACATGACTTTAAAGCTGAACACTTACTCTGACATGTTTTCACATCACGATTTGGACTATGGACATGCAACAAAAGTGAAACATTTTATCAAATTAAAAGATGAGACCCCCTTTAAACATCATCCACGTCCGATTCACCCACAGGACTATGACGCAGTGCGGCGTCATTTGCAATCACTTCTTGAGGCCGGTATAATTCGGGAATCTCAATCTCCATATGCATCGCCAATTGTTGTGGTCAAAAAGAAAAATGGTGACGTCCGATTATGTGTGGATTACAGAAAATTAAACATGCAGACAATCAAAGATGCATATGCATTACCAAACCTCGAAGAGTCCTTTTCTGCCCTCAGTGGGTCACAATGGTTCTCAGTCATGGACTTAAAAAGTGGGTATTACCAAATTGAGATGGCAGAGTGTGACAAAGAAAAAACGGCATTTGTGTGCCCTCTCGGGTTTTGGGAGTGGAACCGTATGCCACAGGGCATCACGAACGCGCCAAGCACTTTTCAGCGCTTGATGGAAAAGTGCATGGGGGACATCAATTTGCGTGAAGTGCTCATATTCCTAGATGATATAATCGTCTTTTCAAAAACTCTTGAGGAACACGAAACCCGTCTCACAAATGTCCTGAACCGGTTACGAGAGAACGGTCTTAAACTATCACCTGAAAAGTGCCGGTTCTTTCAGACATCCGTTCGCTATCTGGGGCACATTGTCTCAAGGAACGGAGTAGAAACTGATCCCCAGAAAACTGAAGCTCTCAAGACCTGGCCAAGGCCCCAGACCTTAAAAGACCTTAGATCATTCCTTGGGTTCACAGGATACTACAGAAGGTTTGTAGAAGGGTACTCAAAGATCGTAAAACCCCTAACAAACCTCACAGCCGGCTATCCTCCCGTTCGGAAAAGGGAAAAAGTGATCAACCTAGCCGCTAAGTACCATAACCCAAAAGAACCATTCGGAGAGCGATGGACACAGGCATGTGAAGTTGCTTTCAATGACATAATTGAAAAGTTGACATCGTCCCCAGTCTTTCCCAGTGTGAATCCCGTTACCCAGCCTATAAGCTGGAATTCTTAGCCCTTAAATGGGCTGTAACGGACAAATTCCACGATTACCTTTATGGCAATGTTTTCACAGTTGTGACTGACAACAATCCCCTTCGCTACATTCTCACCAAAGCCAAATTAGACGCCACTAGTTATCGCTGGTTAGCAGCCCTGTCAACGTATACCTTTGACATCAAGTATCGGGCAGGGAAGCAAAACCAGGATGCTGATGGCCTGTCAAGGAGGCCTCATGGTGAACTTACCAATGATAGTGCATCCCAAGAGGAGAGTCAAAGAATTCATGAGTTCACCTCTCACCATTTAGCGTCTGTGGATGTTGTCCAAGCTACATGCCAAAATCACACTATGATTACCCAAAATGAACCAGATCTCCCTCCATGTTTCATTGAGTCACTTGCAGTGCATCCTGATGCAATTCCTTTAGAGTTTGGAGATGACAATGACAGTTTTAGGGGTCTCTCTACAATCCCTAAGTACAGCAAGGAGGAATTAGTTAGAATGCAGCAAGCAGATACTGTAATTGGTGTTGTTCTAAAATTGTATGAGACAGGAGAATCTGCCCCTTCTGACATAAAATCCCAAGAGCTTTTCCTCATGCTCAAAGAAATGAGTCGCTTTGAAATGAAAGACAGTCTGTTGTACAGGAAACGACATTGTGACAACAAAACAGTCTACCAGTTTGTCCTACACCAAACCTTAAGAGCCCCTGTACTACACAGCCTACACAATGAAATGGGCCATTTAGGATGCAAGAGAACTCTTGAATTGGCCCAAGATGGCATCTGAGGTCGAGTCAAAAATAAAAAATTGCCCAAGGTGTGTCAAAAGAAAAACCCAACCTGAAAAGGCTGCGCCCTTAGTCAATATACAGACAAGCCGCCCGATGGAACTTGTCTGTATGGATTTTCTGTCCATAGAACCAGACAGCCATCATACTAAAGATGTTTTGGTCATTACCGACCACTTTACTAAGTATGCGGTGGCCATTCCGACACGAGACCAAAAAGCCTTAACTGTAGCTAGAACCCTCTGGGAGCAGTTCCTGGTTCATTATGGCTTCCCTGAGCGCTTTCATAGTGACCAAGGCCGTGACTTTGAGTCACAGATTATCAAAGAACTTTGCGCCTTGGTTGGCACTAAAAAAGTACGAACAAGCCCCTACCATCCTCGGGGCAACCCCATAGAACGATATTATCGTACACTATTAAGTATGTTAGACACCTTAAAAGACAATGAAAAGTCCAGCTGGCGAGATCATGTCCGACCCCTCACTCACGCATACAATTGCACGAGAAATGAGGTTACCGGGTTTTCGCCCTATGAGCTAATGTTTGGGCGGCAACCCAGATTGCCTATTGACATAGCTTTTGGTCTTCCAGTTAAGGAAGGTTCAGCTACCACCCACTCTCAGTATGTGAGAAATCTTAAAACCTATCTCAAAGAAAGTTACCAGCTAGCAACAACAAATGCAAACAAGTTTGCAGACAAAAACAAGCAAAGATTTGACATGCGAGTAAGAGAGTCAACCCTTGACAGTGGTGACAGAGTGCTAGTGCGTAACCTCTGCTTTCGTGGCAAACACAAACTTGCTGATCGATGGGAGTCCACCATATATGTTGTTCAAAAGACAGCTGGAGATATGCCTGTATACACAGTATGTCCTGAAGGTCAAGATGGGCCGTTACGCACATTGCACCGTGACTTATTACTTTCTTGCGGTTTTCTGTCTGAGGATGAGGAAATAGTAAAACCAAAGCAAACTCCAAAACCTAAAACCAGGCAAACTCACCTACCTCCAGAGGACAATCCTCCTGATTCTGATGAGGATGAGTATAGTCCACGTTTCTACCCCATCGAAATCGAGACAACAACCAGATTTGTCCAACCAAACAGTTTTCCTCCAACCAAAACTGTCACGTATATTGAACATGAATCCGGTGCTAAGTCAAAACCTTTACCGAAATTGGACAATTTACCTGAGAATTTACCAACTGTCTCTGGTCAACCTGTCGAAAATGAAAACTTGAATGGACACTTACCGAATGCGACACCAGCTGAACTTGAACCTGAAAACAGGAAAGACAGTGAACAAAGGGATTCAGAAATTTAAAATGATTCAACAGCTCATTCCTCTCCAAATGAGAATATAGAGCGAATGGAACAGATACTTGAACCTGAACCGAGACAATCGACTGAATTAGACAAACCTACAGAACAGACTACTAACTCGCCTGAGTTGGGCGATCCTGGTTCTCAGGACAATGTGACTGTAGAACAAATACGCAAGTCTGAGCATCTAAGGAAGCCACCTGCTAAGTTTACATACCCATATCTTGGCCAACCCTTGATCTCATTTGCACAGACCATCCTTGACAGCTTTAACAAAGCTTTAGTTGAAACATTTGAAGGAGCCTCTTCCTTTGAAAGTAGAACATGAAGGGACTCATGTTAATTCAGAGGGGGAGGGTGTAACCCACCAGTTAGGGTTAAAGTACTATTTTTGTTTTCTTCTACATACTTTTATTGATAATGGGTTTTATTTTGAAAACCGGAAGTTTATTTTGATATACCGGAAGTGCAATGCTTAGAAAAGCACATCTAGCTTAACCTCGTTAATTGACTCACAGAGCCCTGCTCTTTCACCCACGTGTGATGAGAAAAGAGAGGAAAAGGTATAAAAATCATATTTTTCGGTGCTCAAACTTTTGGTTGTGTTAGTTAATGGTGTTAACTTTGTAAAAATCCTGTCTAGAGCGTGGATGAGCACAGAAGGAGCGAAGTTAGTGGGTGAACACAACACCATCCCTTGGTAAGAAAGCTCTCAATTGTGTTAATTACTTTATGATCACATGTCATGTTGTTTCGATGATATTGATTGAAAAACGTTATTTTGCACACTTTAAGTTAATTTACAGAGGTAAAGTAATTGTTATCTGCTTGTTATAACTTTATACAGTTTAATATTTGAAAAATGCATTTATAGTTGTACAACACTTTGATTATAATGAACGAGATGAATATATAAGAGTTTAGACTATAAACCTGTTTCTAAATGCAGGTCAGGTTTTTTGATGAGTCCAAGAAAATCAGAAGATTCTAGCCCTCATGTCCAGGAAGGCTGATTCTATGACCCATTGATGGCGAGCCTCCCAGCTTGAATCCAGAGTTTCTACAGCACCATACGGTGGACCACCAATCTGTGTATGGTATGATCGTGTCAGTCACCCTGACTGACACCACCTTGAGTCTACCTCGAAAACTGCACTTGGATCCCTCCCCTTGACTTTTGACTATTTCCCCCCGACTTTTACAACTGACATTGACTGAACTAAGAGCAACCGCTCTAAAGAAGGAACAAAGGAAAATCAGACTCTCTAAGAGACATTGTACTTTCTTAGTTAAAGGGCCCATAGTTTACATTGTTATTATTGTGTGTTGTATTATATGTTGCAGTGTTCTGTTTGGCAACTAAAATCTACAATAACTACAACCACCTGTGTGTTTGGTTATTGCACTCTCTCAGCTCCTACGAACCTAGTCTGTGACGTGTACATACCTTGAAGTGGGTTACAATAACTACAAACAAAATTCTTTTGGTTGCCATCAAGATAATAAGAACAATTGTACTTTCTTTCTAACTTAACAGACGTTCCTCTTGGCATATTTACACAGAAAATATTGTACAGCAACTGTGCAACTTGTAAACTCATAGAAATCTATTTAAACAGTTCAAAGCTTTGGCAAGGGATGTCGGAATGCATTAATTAAAAAAAATAACAAAGCAAAACTCAGTTATATGCAATAATAGATTTTTTTCAATTTCACAGAATGGATGAATGATTTAATTATTCTGTTTATTATGCTGAATAACATACAGACACTGTTTAGCTTGCATTACACTCATTTAAATAACATGCATTTAAATGAAGATAAAAAGTAATTCATCATTTTGGCTAAATTATATAAACTTGATAATGATGTCTGCGGAAAATATATTTGCTTCATAAAAATCAAGCAATTCATCTTTTGATCTGCCACAATATATTTTTATGACAAACCTCGATTACCTGAAACTACAGCATGTTATTATATGTGCAGACTTTCAGTGAAGAAGGCATCAATTTTGCTTTTACAGTTGTCAAAGACAAGACACAAGACAAGACAAATCCATATAAATGTGTTATTTAGAGAAAAAAACATTAACTTTTTTCACCTTGACTTCAATACAACCCTATTTTTTTTTTTTTATCCCTCAATGGCCCTAAAAAATTATTAACATCCTTGTTTCACTTTTTGAAAGCTCCCTTTGGAAGAAATATTACAAAAACCCGTGCTTATTCACATGTTATTGGATTATTGCGGAAATAATGAGAAAAAAAAAATCTAATAAAAACAACATATTTTCTTTGAAAATATGTTCTAGTTCTGAGCAACTAATAACACACAAGAGTTGCCTAGTTACCTGCACTTATGCTATTTCAAGCATTGAGAGTCTTTTTATCCTTCTACCTCCTAATAACTAAGCTCTATTGATTTTCCCTCTAAACATCAGCCCTGTTAGTTGGTTCTCATCAAGCGTTTGATGATGAAGATGAGTTTGAGCAAACCACTGCAGCCATAACAACAAATCCCCATTATTGCAACCCTGAAAAATGAGTACAAGTAGATGGTAGAGTATGGATGAAGCAGACAGAGTGCCCTGGAAATAATGGAACACTCATGGAGCACCACGGGACCAAAGTTGCATCTGGACTGTGAGTTTTTCTTTTCTGAAAGGCCATCATTTGTCACTGGGTCGACCAGTAATGAACAATGATGGCTCTTACAAGGTAACTAATTTCTATTAGCCTCCAACAGATGAGATAAGCTTAGGGAACGGGGGGAGGTGCAATATACCTTGTTACTGCACCAAACATATTTCTTAAAGATAAGCATCAACCCCTTTTTAAAAGAAAAAAAAAAGAAAATAGTGGATTGCCTTTGTGATATTGATGCTGCATGTTGGTACGACAATGTAAAATCAGTAGCTTTTTAAAGAAGTAAGGTTAAGCGAGGTGAGACGCATGAATCATATATTATGCGTTTATGTCTGTAGGAAGCCCCTTAAAAACATCTGTGCAGCCTTCATAAATGTTCTTCGGAAACAGGTGCTCCCTAACATGGAAATAATAGCCCATACAATAAAAGAAGGGGCCCTCTTTCAAGCAGTGCAACAGGATGAGTAATGCTGTTCATCTCAGCTGACCCTCCGTCCTTCGGAAAGATTAACCCAACACAACTTTTGAACAAAAATGGAGGAGGGTCCGACTGTCGATGTCTGGGTTCAGTTTTATTTTCTTGAGGAACGGGTAATCAGTGCTAAAAACATAGTTTCAAAGCAATAGAAGAGGCACTGATGCATGAAAGTGGCATGCATACTGAATGCTGAAGCCTTCAGCATCTTTAACAGCTCTTCAATCAAACTGATGCATTTGCCCTTTTCACAAATGCACTGAGTCTATGACAGGCCCCCGACCTAGAGCACAACCCCCACATGAAAAAAAACATCTAATTTCAATATGAAAGTGGATAGAGGGACTGACATTAGACACACTCTAATAGCCAAGACCTAGTGTTTTTTTTTGGGTTTTTTTGCATGTTATTGTCTCCTGTCGTAATTTTTTTACCCAGATTTCACATAAACGACTGAATGTTGAGATGAGAAGACTTTATCTCAATGTCACTAAATAGACTATATCAAAGGACAAAGTAAAAGGAAAACATACACTCACCGGCCACTTTATTAGGTACCCTATGCTAGTAACAGGTTGGACCCCTTTTGCCTTCAGAACTGCCTCAATTCTTCATGGCATAGATTCAACAAGGTGCTGGAAGCATTCCTCAGGGAGTTTGGTCCATATTGACATGATGGCATCACACAGTTGCCACAGATTTGTCGGCTGCACATCCATGATGCGAATCTCCCGTTCCACCACATCCAAAAAATGCTCTATTGGATTGAGATCTGGTGACTGTGGAGGCCATTTGAGTACAACAAACTCATTGTCATGTTCAAGAAACCAGTCTGAGATGATTCCAGCTTTATGACATGGCGCATTATCCTGCTGAAAGTAGCCATCAGAAGTTGGGTACATTCTGGTCATAAAGGGATGGACATGGTCAGCAACAATACTCAGGTAGGCTGTGGCGTTGCAACGATGCTCAATTGGTACCAAGGGGCCCAAAGAGTGCCAAGAAAATATTCCCCACACCATGTCACCACCACCACCAGCCTGAACCGTTGATACAAGGCAGGATGGATCCATGCTTTCATGTTGTAGACGCCAAATTCTGACCCTACCATCCGAATGCCGCAGCAGAAATCGAGACTCATCAGACCAGGCAACGTTTTTCCAATCTTCTATTGTCCAATTTCGATGAGCTTGTGCAAATTGTAGCCTCAGTTTCCTGTTCTTAGCTGAAAGGAGTGGCACCCGGTGTGGTCTTCTGCTGCTGTAGCCCATCTGCCTCAAAGTTCGACGTACTGTGCGTTCAGAGATGCTCTTCTGCCCACCTTGGTTGTAACGGGTGGTTATTTGAGTCACTGTTGCCCTTCTATCAGCTCCAACCAGTCTGGCCATTCTCCTCTGACCTCTGGCATCAACAAGGCATTTCCGCCCACAGAACTTCCGCTCAGTGGATGTTTTTTCTTTTTCGGAACATTCTCTGTAAACCCTAGAGATGGTTGTGCGTGAAAATCCCAGTAGATCAGCAGTTTCTGAAATACTCAGACCAGACCTTCTGGCACCAACAATCATGCCACTTTCAAAGTCACTCAAATCACCTTTCTTCCCCATACTGATGCTCGGTTTGAACTGCAGGAGATTATCTTGACCATGTCTACATGCCTAAATGCACTGAGTTGCCGCCATGTGATTGGCTGCTTAGAAATTAAGTGTTAACGAGCAGTTGGACAGGTGTACCTAATAAAGTGGCCAGTGAGTGTATATTATATTACAAAGAAATGCACACCTTTTAAAAACAACAGTGAAATGATAATCGAGACATTAGGTGTTAAGGTCATCTTTCTTATAGATATCTGGGAATAGAGATGGAGATCCACGCAGATTATTTGCTACATTGTGGTTTTGCACATCCATTGTAGCTGGCATGCTTCCTTGCATAGCAAATCAGCAAACCTGATATTACTAAGAATTGTAAATTATTTTAGCTGAATATATGGAAATTCAGTCACTGTGAAATAATTTCTTATTACTGCTTATTTTATTGTGAGCTTTCATTTACCTGTCTGCCACTGGTACACTGTCCTTTTCTCACTGATGGACAATCAAAGGATTATTCTCTGAAAGATATTTACAGTATTTGTTGTAGACATGGATCAGTCCATTAAACAAAAAAAAAGATATATTGTCTAGACAAAGATTTGTCTCTTACAAACAGTCTTTCTGGTAATTTCTTATCATGTATTCTGATCAAAGAAAGGGGAGCTTGATTAACATTCAGATTTAGACTATTTGCGCTCGCAAACTGGAATTTTGCGCGAGGGGCTGAACCATGGTTTGCGGGTGATTTAACAAGAGTGATTGCTTAACTGGTGGCAGGTGCAAAACTGTTGGAGACGCCCTATTTAAATGATGGTTTTGCACATTTTGTGGTTTGCGGCAAAGTAGTTTGTACAAACTAGTGCATTAAGAAATTTCAATCTTACAGTGACACCCCCACCCCCTCCAAAAAAAAAAAAATATATATATGTACTAATGTACTAATGTACTAATAAATGATCCTGGTA